GAGGACAGAGCAGTTTACCAGACCAGTTAGCTCAGCTAGTGACCAAAGCTGGCGGCACAGTGGTGAGAGGGAATGACTGGCTAAAGCATGTAGACCTTGAAACTTATGTTCTGAGTCCATCTCCAATGAGTGTTATGAAGGTGTTGATGAATTTAGACTTTCAGCAAGTCATCAGTACTGTAACATGTGCAACTAAAACAGCACGAGAGGAACTGAAAGACTGTTTGTCCCATCTAGATTCTCTCTCAGGTCCAGAGAAAGATTTTCTCATAAGGCTGCCTCTGTTTCAAACCATGACAGGTTCCTTGGTCACAGCTCAGTCAAAACAGGCTTTGGTTTTAACGGCTGGTCCTGGTTTAGCCCCACAACTGCCTGTGCCAGATTCGGTTATCCAGTGTAGTACTGAAGCTGATCAAAGACTTTTACAGCTGCTGAAGGTGAATCTCTTGGGTCCAGCTGAAGTAGGCATAATCCTTGTTGACAGAATAAAACAGGGTGCCTGCAATAGTCAAGTTACAGAGAACATAATGACCTGGATATTACAGCATGGGAATATCCTTTTCTCACGAAATCAGTCCCTGAAAAACAGATGCAAGGAACTAAGATTCATCCAAGGGAAAGGAGGGTTGAAAAGGGCTTCAGACTTTTTTGATCCAAGAGTGAAAAACTTTAGAGTCATCCTTGAGTCAGATTTTTTTCCCCCATCTGTATACACAGAAGCACCACAGATATTGGAAAGTCTGATAGATCTTGGATTGATAAACAAAGAGGCAGATTTGACACCTGAGCATTTGTTATATGCCACCACAATTATTGAGAAACAAAAAGTGAACTCTGAGGGTGAGGCCCTTCAAAGAGCTCAGGTCCTTTTGGAAATCCTGGATGCTTGTGATCTACTGACAAAGTTTTCTAATGCGCAACTTAATACTCTTAAGAAGACTAAATGGTTCCCATGTGATCAACCCCTTATTGAAAGAGGAGACATATTTAACAAATCTACAAACATTTTCTACAGCCCAGAGGAAATAAGACACACTATGTATGAGGACATTGTTGGAGAGGTGATGCCTGTAATAGGGAAGCTCAGTGAGAGAGTTAACAACAAGCTTGGCTTAAAATCTCTGCCTCCACCTGAGAAAGTGATAAAAAACTTGTCAGTCCTAAAATTGAAAGTACAAGACATGGATGATCCTGATACCAACGTTGATTTCAAACGAAAGCTGCATAGCATTTACAGGCACATGCAAGAAAACATCTCTGCATTTGTAGAGTTAATGAACACTGAGACAGACTGGTTGTGGGCCCATGACAAATTTGTTTCCCNAAAACATCTCTGCATTTGTAGAGTTAATGAACACTGAGACAGACTGGTTGTGGGCCCATGACAAATTTGTTTCCCCCTGTGAGTTGGTCCTTAACTACCCTCAGGATCTGGATCTAAGCTCTTACATTGGGAAGGTGCCAAATGAATTTTTACCATACAAGGAGCTGCTTAAGAAGTTTGGTCTGAGAATATCAATTTCAAATAAAGACATTGTTGGCATGCTTCATTCCATCCAGCAAAACATTGAAGCAAGACAACAGCCATTTGCAAGTCCAGCTGAGGTGAAAGTGTCCATAGAGATTCTCAACTGGTTATGGAAAACAAAGCAAACTGTCCAGGGTGATATCCCTGTCCCAGTAATTACAGAGGATGAACAGTTCACCCTTAAACCACAATCAGAAGCACTTCTTTGTGACGTAAGCAGACATAAACTGGAAGAACTTGAGCTAGGTCAGGAAAAAATGTATCTTCTACACAAAGAAATCCCAATAGCAGCAGCTGAATGGTTGAAAATTAGATTTCTCAGTAACTACATCCTTGCTCCCGAGCCTATAGGTATTGAGCAATGTGGACAATCTGAGCCTATAACTACGAGGATTAAAAACATCCTTAAAGAGTATGATGAAGATGGTGACATCTTCAAGGAGCTCATCCAGAATGCAGAGGATGCTGGAGCTGATGCCTGTAAATTTCTGGTGGATTTCAGAGAACACAAAGATCCTCCAGAAAGTCTTATTGATCCTGACATGGCCCTTTGTCAGGGTCCATGTCTTTGGGCCTTCAATAACAAGCAATTCACAGGTGAGGATTGGACAAATATTGTCAGAGTTGGGTCAGCCTCAAAGGAAAGCAAAGCTGAAAAGATTGGAAAGTTTGGACTTGGATTCAACACAGTTTATCATGTGACAGATATTCCCTCAATCCTAAGTGGAAGCAAACTTCTTATACTTGATCCAAATGTGACTCACCTAAGAAAGCACATTAGCTCAAGCACAAATCCTGGAATAAAACTGGATCTTTCTGTAAAGAGACTTTTTCATTGCTTTCCCAGTCTTTTTGGACCATATGAAGGTATTTTTGAATGTAACTTCACACAGAAATGTCCTCCAGACCCATATGATGGCACTCTAATCAAACTTCCTTTCAGAAATGAAAATGAGGCTCAGACATCAGACATAAGCAGAAAGGCATATCACAAAGAAGATATCACTGGCTTGTATCAGAACTTTATGAAAAATTCACAAACTCTCCTACTTTTTCTCAAGAACATCAATACACTGTCCCTAGAAAGTATCTGCAGTAAAGCAACAACATTAAAAGCAGGTGAAGTGGAAACAATCCTTTCGATGTCAAAAACAGTATTAAGCGTTCCAGTTGAAGATAAAACTATAATATCTAAACAACGGCAAGCTGAGACTTCTCTGTTGAAACACGATTCCCAATGCAAAAATGTAATCGACAGCAACACAGTCAGTATTGTCCATATCTATAGCCAGCATTCTAACAAAACTGAACAACATTCTTGGCTCATTTACACCTGTCTTGGCACAGGTCAGACTTTGAAAATGTTTCTTCAACCAAAGGAGAAAGCTGTGTTCTCATTGCCAATTGGAGGGATTGCTGTGCCTTTGCAACAAGATACAGAAACTGGAAAATTCTTTCCTCCAAAAACAGATCTTATTGGACAAGCATTTTGCTTCCTTCCTCTTCCAATTCAAACTGGGCTTCCTGTTAATATCAATGGTACATTTGCTGTGATGAGCAACAGAAAAGGTCTGTGGGAAAGTGGAGTGAAACATGAGTGGAACAAGGCTCTTCTAGAGGATCCTTTGGTGACAGCCTATGTTACAGCACTTTTGGCACTAAAGAAAATGTCAGAAAATGGGGAACTTGAGGCTTATTGTTATCACACCTTTTGGCCTGAGAGAGAGAAAGTGAGTGATACTTTTAAGCCTTTGGTGGATGAATTATACTCTAATATTGCTCAGTCTTCCACTGGTCCAAAACTGTTTTTTGATGGAGAAAAATGGTGCTCAATGGACAATGCAATCTTTTTACATGAGAGCATAGAAGAAAATGGCAAAATCAATCAACTTGCAGCTCAGGTGTGCAAAAAACATGTAAAGGCACCAAACTGTGTTGTTCCTCTTCCTCTTTGGTTAAGAAAGAGTTTCAAACAGGCTGGCTTGAAAACGATTTTACAGAACCGGACTTGGACCTGGGAGAAATTTTATCAAGAAGTGGTATTTAAAAACCTTGACGCCATGGACCCTAAGACCAGAGACACTCTTGTGTTGCATGCAGTTGACCTCAACCTGAAAGGAATTGACAGTCTGTTGACATCTTATCCTTGCATACCTACAACAGATGGTAATCTTCAGTATATCAAGAAACTTGTGAACCCCTCCAGTAGAGTTGCTTGTCTTTTTGAGCCAGAGGAAGGACGCCTGTTGGGTGGAAGCAAACAGGACTTCTGTTCCCCCAAAAGGATTCAACGCTTGCTGGAACTTGGAATGGCAGGTGATCATCTTCCACTGGAGGACATCACAGAAAAAGCATGCAAGATGACTGAAATGTGGAGTGTTGACAAAAAGAAAGCATATGATAATGTAACTTGCCTCCTTGAACTTCTGAAGGAACACTTGGAAGAAAAAGATTCCCCTCAGTGGGAAAAATTGAAAATTACTACATTTCTCCCAGCATTTTCCCCTGGTGACATAAAGATGAAAAAAGATACAGC